CGTCCGGTGACACTCCTATCCGTTCTATTCAAAGTCATGGAATCCATCCTAGCGGGTTTCTTGATGGAACACTTAGAGAAGTATGACCTTTTTGCAGATCAGCATTGATTCCGTCAAAAGAGACCATGTACTACTAATCTGGTCCTGGCTTGCGATGAATGGACAAAGACAGTAGACCAAGGCGATGCAGCTGATGTGGTTTACCCGGACTTCTCCAAAGCGTTCGATCGGGTAAACGACTGAATACTGCTCCGTAAACTGTACAATTTTGGTATCAGAGACCTCGCTTGATTGGATTGCTGCGTTTCTCCAACAACGGACTATGTTCCTGGGACCACAAATATTATTGTTTGCAGACGACGCGAAATCTGGAAGACAGTGACAGAAAGTGGGGGTTCGCTGGAACTCCAAGAAACACTACATGCAGCTCACAAATGGTCTATTGAGAACGACGCCCAATTTACCGTCTCCAAATGCAAGGTGATTTCGCAAGGTGGTTTCCTTATTTCATCGGAAACGAATTACTGCCTCAAGCATCAACAGAGAAGGACTTGGGTGTTATAGTCCTGAGCTGTTCTAATAATTGCCACGGCGTCATCAACAGCACTCAAACATGTCGGTCTACTTAAATGTATTTTCGGTCGGTTCGAACCATCTTTATTCTCACGTTTGCTGTCAGCATACAACCGGCCACATATTGAGTATGCCATCCAAACTTGGAAGCCATGGTTACAATGTGATCATAAGATTTTTGAGCATCCACAAAGGCTCGACACGAAGATGGTCAAAGGACTCTATTATGATTCATACATGGGAAAACTGTAGTCATTGGGTCTATACTCTGCTCACTATCGTCGGTTTCGGGGAGACTTAATTTTAGTGTACCAAATATTATATTATTACTATTATTATATTATATTATATTACACAACCCAAACCACCCTTGTCGCCGACTTTTGACGTTGTCATCAAACGTTCATCCATCCAAATTACTGCTCCAAAAATCCTGACTGGACTGTCGATGTCATACCTTCACCACCAGAGTGTGCACTGCCTGGAATTCCTTACCATCTCATGCTGTTTGTGTCAAGACGATTGATTCTTTCAAGGTAAAATTTGACGAATCATTACCACACATTGCATTCTAACATCTATGAGTACACATAACACAACCGAGTACATCATATGGAAATTTGTTCATCACTGTTACAGTTCAATTCTTGTTAACACCCTATGGGACAAGAAAAGGATCTGCTTGTAAGCATTGCCCATAATAAAACTTTGACTTTAATTGTTTTAATTTTGTAAAATACCCGGAACTATTTAAATGACAGATAAAAATGCAAAAATAATTCAACGTTTGTGTCAATAGAGCATTTATATTCGGGGAAGGAAACGAATGCTTTCGTGGTATATTACACCGAGTAATTTTCAAATTGATCTTTCATTATCTTACGAAAAGTTGATTAGAAATATTTTTTAGACAAATAAATGGAACATACCGTGATCTGTTCACTTTAAAACAACATGGTGCTCAGTGCCTACAACTCTCAAGCTTCTTCCTCATGGTTTACAGATGTAGTCAAAAGCATCTGTTGTCCGGGTACTGAGAAGAATTGTCACTGGAAACGTTACAACGGAACGGTTACTCAGAAAGCTTCATTGATATGTATGGCAAAAATCCAAAATTGTGGCCTATCGATAGCTGCGGCCCAAAAAGCTATCAGTTTCAAGTAAACTTTCAAAGGCGGTTACCTTCTGAACGTTGAGCGCAAAAGTTGAAGTCACTTCTGAGTCGCACATTCCCAGCTGTTCAATTTTAACTTGCTGATTCTATTCGCAGAATTGATCTTGATAAACGTAAACTTTGTTGGGTAAACCAGTTGTCTCATACATTGTGTCAGTTCGCCTGCCCTTACAGTGACGTACACATGGAAAGAACATGAAGTCAACAAGCACAAAAGAACAACCGAACACATCTCAAAGCGGCCGGCAAAGTTCATTACGTAACCCACACCCGACAGACAGACAGACGGCCACAAAGAACCCGGGGGAACGTATTGTGGAACATCTCATGAAATGGATCCTGTAAGCTCTGTGGATCTCACCTTACGTAAATCTTATCTCGGTCTGATCACTCGCTTGATTATTCGCAATCCCAGTTGAGTTGAGTAAAAACGTAAGCATCTTATCGTACGGGATACGTTTAAGAATATCAATGCAGTTCTGTAAGAAATAAATAACGAACATTTAGTACACCTCCTATTTAGGAGGTTGGCATACATCGATAGTGAAAGGGGTAGGTATTCACACCAAGATTTCCCGAGTCCGTGTAAATAAACAACGTAATATAAGCCACAGGGGTCGTACGTAATAGTTCGGTGTTTTTACCAACGACCCAACGGACATTCTGGGGTCACAAACAATAATGTTTGCAGATGATGCAAAAATTTGGAAAAGGGGAACAAAACCAGAGGACTCGCTAGAACTCCAAAGAACACTCAATGCTGCCTATCAATGGTTGATCGAAAACGACAGAANAACGGTGACAAAACCAGAGGACTCGCTAGAACTCCAAAGAACACTCAATGCTGCCTATCAATGGTTGATCGAAAACGACAGAATTGAATGCATCAAAATGTACGGTCGTATTCCTTCGACGTAAAACTAGGTTTCCGTATTTCCTGGGAGATCAACAACTTCCGTATGTCTCGAATGAGAAGGATCTCAGTGTCATTGTTCAAGACTACCTAAGTTGTTTTTTAAACTGCTCCCGGTTATCGTCTACCGCTATAAGACATGTTGGTTTGCTAAACCGAGTATTTGGCAAATTTGAACCTAAACTGTCCCCACGATTATCAGTCCACATGCGACTCCACATAGAGTACGCCATTCAAGCATGGAATCCATAGCTGCACCACGATCGGAAGATTCTGGAACGTCCACAAATGGCCACCAAAATGGTCAAGAGACTGCATTCCAAGTTATGCGGAAAGACTGGAATCACTGCAACTGTACTCAACACAGTATCGCCGCGTTCGAGGGGACTTTATCTTGGTATATCAAATAACGCACAACCCAGATCACCCATGTTATTCACTCTTTTCCTTGTCCTTCAACACACACGTGAGGGGACACTCATTCAAATTAGTGCTCCGAAAATGCCGGCGTCAATCATTCGCCCTCAGTATGCATTACTTGGAATTCTCTACCACCACACGTTGTTTCTGCGCCCACTATTGATTCATTCGAGCACAAACTGGATGAAGCTCTGAAATTTTAAATTTCAACATCCGCGGAAGTGCACAAAACAAGGACAAATCGACATTCATCTACTTTGTATGAACTGTGAATTGATTCATGTGCTAAACCTTATGGGACTAGAAAAGCAACCGCTTGTAAGTGTTTCCCATAATAATACTTTGATTGTGTTGGATCCTAGTCACCCAGACTGATGGGCGAATGTCACAAGGTCAAGTACATTGATCGGCTGAGTTCATGAATGCTCGAATGGGTCAGAGTGGTGAGGTGGCAGGCACGGTGAGTGCGTGTATGGTCATATGACTGGTTGCCTTGTGTTGGTGAGTGTCAGTGCCGCAGAACTGGTACGCATTGTCACTGTGTGCGTGCGTGTGTTGTGTCATATGACTGAATCACACCACGATTAGGTAACCAAAATGCAAAACTACTGGCAATTAATGGGTGTTTGGAGTGGAAAAATAACATCCTTAGCAATGATGATGACTTGCACTGCTGGCCAAAACGGGTGGTCTAGATACATCCCCAATGGCGGAAAAATGCGTCCCCGATCAGGTGACGTCGGACGCATCAATTCATCATGTGACCAAGGTGTCTGCATCTGGAACACAAGGCGTACGCGACCACCTTAGCCCCAGTGAAATCATATTGATTTAAAAAGATAGCAATCTGCTACAGCTAACTCAATTTCAAGCCATGATGACACCAGTGCACTGGTTCTATACAAGTTTGCTACCCCAGAGTCAAGGTTCCGATTTCAATATATGTTATATTAGGACAAAGACGCGAGAAGAACCTGGTTCTCGTACTGCAATTCTCACTGAGAAAAGAGGCTGCTGATTCTCCGGTCACACGTATCTCGTCCCAGCGGCTAAATATGCATGGTGGTGGTGGCGCAGCGGTTTATTCGTTGACATTGACGTGCTTTGGATCCAATGGTTTGAGGTTCGAACCCTACCACCGACGCCAAACTTTGTTGATAGGCAGCTTTGCTGTCGTCTGGTTCAATACCACGCCCAACCTAGTGGGGCTTTATGTGGTTCGCCATTTGCCCCGGGTCTTAGGTTACCGGTTTCCATCAATACACCATGAAAAGACAATAGCGTGAAAAAGGGAAACTGCTGCATTATAAAATCGTATACGAAAATAAGCTGATAGAAAAATTAACCGATAGTAAAAAATGAATATGACAAAGACAAACCATAGGGTTATTTTTCTCTGAGCAATTTGACAAACTGCTGGAAGAGGGAATCAGTGGTGGTACGCGCACAAAGGAACGCTGGAGGGGAGAAGACAGACAAGTTTGTATACAAACACCGGAATGCCTGTCAGCGAAAGGAATGATGCCTTTAAAGAGGTTGGCCACACGAAAACAACGAAAAAAGTACAGTATCGACGGGTAACTATGTACAATTGGGACGGGTTGGTGGACAATACACCGGTGGAATGATGCGTTTCGCAAGAGATTGAAAACCGGATAAATGAAGGCACAGTTCGTGCGAGGAACACAGTTACCGCATACGCACACACTAAACGACAGGACAGAAACTCAGAGTGACAACTGTACGCTGAAGAGAATAGGGTGGGCGTCGTGAATAGATCCCCACTCGGGCAAGTGTAACCGGGTTTGGGAAGTTCCAAGAAGAACTTTCGTGATATGCAAATGAAAATATGCTATATATCTGTTGCGAAAAGGTGGATATGGATTCTAGTCGCTCCGATGATGAGAGAGAGACGTTCGGCTAAACTGGAAGCACGTCCATATAATGTCGCACTGAGGAGTTCTGGCATCCTGCACCTGGAACTATAACTCGATTCTGTGCAGTTGTGTGAACGGATAATAATGAGGATTCTGAAAACACATTAGTCGTCGGACAGACAGGTTTCACTGAGGTATCAAATCCGGTCTTCGGCGAACAAGTGCCACTGGCCGAACGGACTCGCTTGATGGCGGCTATGGTGTCAAGACAGGCTTGGATAGCACGGCAATTCTGTATTACTTCGGGTGGGTCCGCATCAGCATCCAGTTTGGCGGTCAGTTGTTGTACAGTGTTTAGCACTTTAACCAACACTCCATCTTGTATTTGGTTGCATAAGGTATCCTCCTCATCTAGGCCAACGGAGACTGTGAGCGATTGCTGCGTCTGACGGGAAGGCGTGTCTAGAGGGCCAACATGGTACATTTCTGTAGCCTGGGTTGACAAATGAGCTTGGTTGACTTGGTTACTATTCACTGTGGTGACTGTGTTGGAAGCTAGTCGCGACGTGACATCTTCGCAACAGCAGGGCATTTTGGACACGGGACCTGCAATGGAAGAATAAACAAATGGCAGGGGGAGAAATAACAACAGGGATCATTCGGAAAAATTGGACTAGGGTGACCGACTGAAAGTAGATGGCTAACTTGATCATGAAACCGCTAGGTTGAAAACCCATTGGTGAAAAAATGTCGGACAGAATGTATCGAAAATAATGAGATACGTGGAATAATCTGTAGCCACATTGGGATTATCGTGCATTGAGAAAGATGTGTTCTACGTCCAGACGAAAGGATGCAAAAGAGCAATATGAAGAACGGATCCACTGATGTCGATGGCAGACATTTATTTCGATTAACATGCCAGAACAACGTGTATGTTCAAGTGGAGACGGTCACCAAAACAACCGCTTTCAGGTCGTGTTCGAACCCCACCGTCACTGCTTAACACACCCCATTAGCAATGCATCGTATGGTAGTGTTCTGATCAGCCGCTCTCCTATCTTGTTCGTTCCATCATAAAGTCAGTAAAAGGATGAATAAGAAGATAAGAAAAAACTCTCAGGAGTTTATTCTACTTCAAATATCATAAACAGTCTACCATGTACACTAAGGCTACCAGTGCCCCGATGAGTACTGGCTTGAATCTCGAATAGGTGACCAACTTTTGGGGATTCAACAAGTAATACTCCAAATACTTGAACATAGAGCTTGTTGAACCGTTCGCACTCGGCTGGTTATTTGCTGGATCGCCGCTCAACCAAATCATTCAAGCATAAAACGGCGCGAATCCGTTTGAGGTGTGGCTACCAAAACCACAGAACAGACAACGGGAGAAACAGCCATCCGGAAAAGTTCACGACTCAGACTAGCGGACGCCAGACTACATGATGAAGCAGTTGTGCGTACCGAAGCGAGTTCATTTTGTCTTGACTAAGTTCTGAAAGAGTAATTGGAAATTTCAACACTAAAATGTAAATTGTTACAATCGGTATGAGGTTTTAAGTAAGTGACAGATAGTCACGATAGGTGGCAACTCAGAACAGAACCCATTCTATACATATATTATATTATATTATATATATTGTGGCAGATAAGCTTTTAAGAATAAACTGTCGATATAACTTTGTCCATTGGTGTACTGATTGCCGAACACCAAGAAGCCCATTTATTGGTGATAACAGTAGTGTCTACCTTTCAGAACGAATCCAGCAAACAACATATACAATTATTTTACGGAATTGAAATGCACGCACCGGGTCACCAGACACATCCAATAAATTTGGGAGGAATCAGGAAAAAGGGCAAATGGATCAGCTCATTTGATGATCTCAAATGATCAATTGTTTCAACTGGTAATGACCATACACGAACAAACCAGTGAGGCAATGGCCTTAGAGCGACAGATTCGGTGAACAAGAATAATTTTGTCAAAGGGTGGTTGAAGCTAACAATCAAACACTCCGAATGACGCAACAATGCTCAGCACTGAATGCAACCGTCTGAAGAGCTAATCCAGCACAGATGGAACAGTATGGTGGGATATTTTTCTTTTTTTCCCGACTTAACAGAGATAATATCAGATCATTCTGAACTTTTCCGTGCCTACAAGAAGTACATGAGGTATAGATGTGGTGTGAAACCACGACGGGACTTCACGCTGGGCAAAACACAATCAATGGAGTCTGTTGAACCAGGGTCGGGGAGGATGTTTCTCATACAACCAGTAACCACGGTAATACTGGAGTTTTCACATGCATAACGCACAAATGTAATATGCGAAATATTACAACCACACATCAATTTTCTAGTTCTATTTTTTGATAGAAAACCGTCCAGATTGATCAAATTTGATTGGATGATGATTTAACTCATGACCGAATAGTCAAACCAAAAAGGATCGTGAAAATGACTCCGCTGAACTGATGTGCGAAATGCGATTAACCCATCCCCGGGGAAATGTGAGCATATTCAAGTGGTTGCGAAACGCACTGACTTTTCAATAATTTTGATCAAGACATAATACTCAAGCAAGCTTCCAATCAGGCTCCGGCGCAGCAACTATATTTTGGTGTGTTGAATGCTATGTGTAGAAGTATTGTGTTGGAAAATCAAGGATCTGAATCAATTTTCTGAACTCATGGAGAGAACGAACTAGTTCAGGGTTTCGACATAAGATTCAACTATTTGATATCCTTTGATAATTGTCAGCTGAGACTTTCCATCTTTAAAAATGTAACCCAACACTATGACAGAGCATACGCCCTAGGCACGCGGCTGAATAATAATTTGCTGTTATGCAGATCATGCCAATAGTACACGAGCCCATCAGGACAGCCGAAGCTAAACTTGTTCTCGTCGCCGATCATCACACCGCTTTCCATTCAGGGGTCCAGTTGATTTGACTTCTAACCCGCGGTGGTTGATGACTTCTTCCAGAAATCTTGAGAATACCCTCGTTCCAGTCCCGATAGCTCTGAACCGCATGTCATTCTTCGGTTTCGATATACGACGCGATCATGATTGTAATCGTGATGAATGTCCTCGATGATCGTCATTCAGCTAGCGTGCGCTACGTGAAGAATGGTGCATAGCCGGACACAGTCTAACGCATATGAGGCATGACTGACTTATACAACTAACATGGCTAAGTGTGGAGTGCACTTTATTGATGGCGAGGTTAATGGTATTTTACAAACCTAGGGGCACATCATCACCATCGTACAGCGAAATACAGTGAGGCGAACTTCACTGATCGCTGCCAAACTCACAATGCATACAAGGTTAGTGGTAAAATTTAAGGTGGACAAGGAGTGGACCTAATTTGAGAGAGAGGAGAAGGTGAACCAATGTGGTCAACACACAGAGTACACAATCGAACTTTGCATACATACCGTTTCAAGCGTTATGGCCTGAGAAGAAATGACAACAAGAACGCCACTGCTGCCATATCCTTGAATGTCTCCAACCAACCGGTTGTGGAGTCTTTCGGATCCCCACCTGGAAGGCGCGTGACACCTACTCTACCTAATGGTTCCGTGCATTTCTTCATGCCTCGTCTCCACGTCATCTGTTGGCCTCCAGCCCGGAACGGCTGCAGCGAATAAGGCGCGATGGAGTAGACGGTGGCTGGGCATAGATACAGATAGAGGTTGATCGGGTTCATCACGTGATTCATGAAAGGCTCGTTCGACCCTGGTCGCAGTTGACGTGATGACATTTGGCGACTGACTTGTATCATTATTTCAATGCCCTAGCAACGACAATCAGCAGTGCCCCAACTGTGGCTCTCGAACTATTCAACCAATATGTACATCCCTGCCTGAAAATTTTGAAAACCTTCTTTCGTTTGTGTGAATCACCCCGCACGAAACCGTTTCAATTCACAACGATGTCTTGGACGGTCGAAAAATTGCACCTATGCAATGCTGATTGCAAAAGACGAGCTACAACAAGCACTATACTCAACAGTAAGATTACGCAACAGAAAGTGAGTCTGAGTTGATTGGCCGGCATATTGTCAGTGCAGACAAAAGCTGTAGACGGATGAAGATGGACTAGTAAAATCTTTTGGATAGAACTAACTGCTAGTTCAGTGCCCTTCTGATGGGGGTACAAGACTTTAACAGCTAAAAGTATGCCTGACGATTCCGTGGGAGCGGTGATTCAACAAACCTGCTATGGAGAGATCGACATGGAATTCACTTAAACCCGGGTAAAACGCCGGGAAATCGTTTTTGCAAAATGAAAAGGGCATTTCGGTTCGAGGATAAATATGGCCAGAAAAAACTGAAAAGATTATAATCATTCATTCGAGACCTTGACTGCAAACACCTGAGGGGTTTACGAACCTTATTCCTCATTTACGATCGACCAATACTTGATGCCGCTGAAAAGAAGACCAAGCTTAGACATGCAACTGTCAAAAAAGGCTGATAAATATGGCATCAAGTTTTGAAAATCCGTGGACAACTAGACTAAGTGTGCGTATAATATATTGCCACGTCTTAGAATATTTGTTCGTCAGCTGAAAAATGGATGCCCGGAGGCAAAGGACGTAGTATAACGTATAGCAGTGGACTGGGCCCACAAGCGACACAATATTGCAACACCCAGTCATTACACTAATATTTCTATCAGTTACGTTGATCCCCAGGTTCGATCCGGGGAGCCTAACGCAACCTATGTAAGCAAGTCTCCTGGTCAGGGCCTTCATACATACCCTCATACCAGGTCTTAGTTCGACCACCCTTGACTTTTTCCTGCCTTGGGAAACGTGCACCGTGGCAATCTACTTAGTGACATGTGCAACACATACGTAGTGGATACCCTATTCGCAAATACAGCGCTCGATAATGGACTATGAGCGGTTGAGCATGCATGTTCAACGTTTGACTTCTAAAGCCCGGATTTGTTACAGACCAGCATTGGGAGTGAAAATTACGTGAAAGCTTAAATAGAGGGTGGGCCGAATCGGAACACTACAGATGGCGCCAAATATCTTCGCCGGGAAATGCGAGCGACTAGTCCGCAAATGGCTCACAGTGCTCGTTTAGCCATGCTCTGCGGGGTATGAATGGTCTGGCAGTTTTAGGGTTGAGAGGAATCCTGATATAAGCTTCCCTGTTGAGTCAACGGTGTGACTAAAGACGTGCTGAGATGCGAGTACCGAGAGAGAGAGAACAGTAAATAAAGAAGAAGAAAGCGTTCAAACATTTTCGGGATGATTTACATGCTTTTTACCCCGATGAGGATGATAAATTGTGTCAGTATCTCGCCTGAAAAACGGAAGAGGATGTCACCAGCTGATGGAAACCGAATATATATGGTGTACCGTTTGATTTTGACCCGGATAGCCTGTTAGTAAACAATCGAGCCCAGACCGAGATGAAAAATTCAATCCGTGGTATTCTGAAGTTTGTTGGTCTCTCTTATTGATGCAGCTTCTTTCACAATCAGACTACATGCGGATCCAAACGTTTATAGTCAACTTATTGCAGTGTGCTCCAATGGGAGAATCCTTAGCAGTCACATAACCTGTAGCTACT